CTCTCAATGAAGATTTCGTAATGAATTGGTATTTATGAGATCACAAGTCTCTTGTTCCGAAATGAGGCATTATATGCTCCAATCTCTATATGAGGCCGTGTTGAAGGATTTGTTCCAAAGCAGCACTGCAACTGGACAGGTGAGATTGCAGGCAATCGCTGCTTCCGGATCCAGCGCATGGTTAGCAGCAGCTCCCTCCCCGACTAAAGACCTCCTATTCCCAAACACTGCATTTGTCGATGTTCTGAATATGCGGTTGGGAAGGGAAATCTTTGGTTTGGGAAAGGCTTGCAACTTTTGTGCCGAAACTCTAGATGCTTATGGACATCATATCATGGGATGCATGTGACAAGGGAACAAGTATGGTATACATAATTATCTTCGTAATACGGTCTTTCGATATACAACAATGGTTGGCTTGCGACCAACATTAGAACCAATCGGCCTCCTTTCTGATGATCCCCAACGACATCCTGCCGACACACTGATTGTTGCGCGCCCTTCCATCCACCCCAATTCATGGCGTAAGTTCCCACGGCTGGCTATCGACTTAGCTGTCACGTCCCCTTTCCAACAAGCTACTTTTTCAAACGCGGGCACTGAAACGCTGTTTAGTGCAAAGCGGTATGCTGAGCGCAAGCGTCGGACTGGAGAGATCTTAGAGCGATGTGCAGCGGTGAATGTCGGCTACGAGCCGATTGTTTTCGAAAATACAGGTGGTGTAGAGGAAGGAGGACAACTCTTGTTGAAAAAACATTTGCAAATTGTGTGATGAACAAACACACCGCAAATCGGGAGAGAATTTTCACGATTGTATGACACGGATAACATTCGATCTTCAACGGGGATTAAGTTGCGCAAGAGGGCTTCATCTCGGGTCCGGGGGCTATCCAAACATTTTTGGATCTTTGCTCAATTTAAATTGTTGGCCAGGTCTCCTTCTCAAATATATCTGAGGCAGTCGCGGCTGATGTCGTTGGCTGCTCGTTGGCCATCCATTGCTTGGCAGCTGTCGCCGATGCACTGATTCAATTAGGAATTCAGAATCTCATTTCTAGGATCTTCCGGCTCACGACTTGTGTTGGTGGCTTTTGCTTGCGCTCTGGGTCCCTTTTCCCCTGCGTAATTCGGGATGGCGGTGGGTTTTTTTCAATGTGGGGGTGCGGCGACCCGGATTGAGAATTTTCTTGCTTTGGTCGTGAATTTCGAGAATGGAGATCCAATAAATTGGATTCATTTTAGAATGAATTAATTTTCGAGCATAAGTCTTGCGTGCCGGAAGGGGGAATTTCGAGCAGAAGACTCGAAGTTCTCCTAATCTTTGGTATATCTAGACGAAATGAGGCATTTTATGAATATCTTGGACGATTGAATTTCGATTTGTAATGAGGTTTATAGGAGATAATTCAGATTCATCATATATTCCAACGCGGGCACGGATAGATAAATAATCTTGATAATAAGGAATCATTTTTGGTAATGTATATCTAGTAATATTTCAGATGGTATATGGACTCATCAGGATGATCCCTCTATAACAAATATGGAAGGATGACAATGCATTTTGATTGGGTATTATGAATTATAGAATATTTCTCATCAGATGAATGATAATTAATTTATCCATTCCAATTTGGTTCGTCTCTCATTCGAGGAATTATTTTCGATTTTTTCATATTATATTCAATCTAATGGTTATATACGTGCATATCTTTTATGATATTTGAGAGAATATATATTAATCCTTGATATATGGGACATCAGATATATTAATTTGTCCCATTATATTGTTTTTATATAACTTATATGAAAGAAGAACATAAGAAGCGCGCATATATTTCATATAATCAGAAGGAATCCATCGATTCCATCGATATATATTCGCCTATTGAATGGAAAAAAATGAATACCAAAATCCCGAAGAAATATGGACAAGCAAAAAAATCGCATATTTTCGAGATCTCTATATAGATATCTGAGAACGTGACGCGCGAACATAATAAGCACGAATTTATTTAGAAAGCGAAAATTGAGCGAATGATATAATATGAAGAAAGAATATACGAATTATGATTTACGAATTACGATCTATGATCTTATGTCCCAATTCGAATTATGATTATATGAATTTGAATTCATAATCAAATTCCAAATAAGATATCTTTAAGAATCATAAAATTCGCAAAATATCATATCAGATCCCTCCTTTAATTCTTTAATCCTAAATTCTTCATCTCAAATATCTCACTATCCATCTTTATCTGAATCATTTCATATAATATCATTAAGATCTATTCGCCTTTTCAATTGAAATAATGCATCCAGAGATTTTATAGGATTCTAGAAATGAACCATGATTTTATTCAATAATGATTTTAATGGAAATGAATCTATTATAATACAATCTTTCCATGGTTCTTCCACATCTCGAAAAAAATTTCCGTGGGATACGTATTTAAAATTTCCGTCCATAGACCCTTCCATGGGATCATTCGTATGAATTCTCATAATTCTTTCCACATAATTAAAAATCTTAGGCATATATCCCATGAAATTCCAGAACGATAATCGATATTGATCGAACAAATATATGATATAAGGAAGTCTGTGATCCATGGCTTATAGAAGAAGTGATAGAGTCATCCATGAAAATAATGAGAATTGAAGATAATTCAAATCGGCAAAATTCATCGTTATTTTATTATTGAATAGATAATTATATTATCATTTCGAAGAGCGTATTTCCCAATTAAATCTATAAGAAATAGAATTCCATTATTCCAGAATAGATCCTATCCTTCCATAGAATTTCCACAGAATTTCCTCAAATTTTCCATATCTACCTCCTATCCAAATAGCATTATCCTAAACCAAATTTATAGTGCTTCTGAGTAGATAATTATTCCTTAATTATATGGTAATTTCAGAGCATAACCCAAATCCTAAATCATATCAGAGAACGATATTATCATCGATTATTTGGAATTGAAAAGATCATTAATTCAAGATATTCAAAATAGAATTTATATCAGAAATTGTATCCACGAAATCTTCCAGATACTTCCATGATCATAATTTAGAATTCATTCTAAATATAAATCCAAAATAGATTTCAATATTAATTTAATTTTCAAGAAATCTGAAAAAATCCAAAATTAACGAATATAATACCAATCCCGATTCCAAGTTCCCCCAAATAGCCGCAAAATACGACAAAAAGATTATTCCTCCATGATCTTTCTTTTACTAAGTAGTGCTTTTGGGGACAAATGCCACTTGCACCATCGCATCTGCATATTATATAGATCCACGAATATCATCAAATTATTATAGATAAAAAAAATAATAATCCCCACCCCACCTCAATAATCTCCCTTCAACAACCATTCCCTTCAATAATCCGTCCCTTCAACAACAATCTCCCCAACCCTTGAATAATCCCTGAATGACCGCCCCTCAGCCCCCTCAATCCCGGCCCCTCAGCCACAACCCAAGTGGAAGCCTTCGGTCCCCCCACTCGACCATAATCCCTCAGCCCCATTCCCTTAATTCTCCAAAGCCATCCATCCCCAACCGCACCCGACAAAATCCAAACCATTACAACAAAAACAAAAAACAAAGCCTCCCAAAACCCCAACCTTTCAATCCCAACCCCTCAACCCCCCCCCAACCCCTCAACACCCAAAACCGCCCACCCCCCACCACACCCGACAAAACCCAAACCATTACAACAAAAGCAAGAAATAAAACCCCCCAAATCACGATAAAACTCCGGACGCAAACCTTATACAATTTCTATTAACCCCCAAAACCGTAAACCATAAAACCCTTAAACCCTGAACCCGGGGGATCCCGAAAATTTCGGGAATCTTCCAAAATTCCTAGGATTTTAAATAAGGAACTTAAAATTCCCGGAATTTTTCGGATCCCCCTACAAGGCCCTCACAAGCAACCAAATGGATTGTCGAGCGAAACAAAGGTCGAGCCCATAACCTTTTTTGGAAATATAATATAATTATAATAATTTCTATTCATTCTCTCCTCACAAGCAACCAAATGGATTGTCGAGCGAAACAAAGGTCGAGCCCATAACCTTTTTTAGAAATATAATATAATTATAATAATTTCTATTCATTCTCTTTATTCGTCTCATTATCCATTTATAATTATGCTCTTCATAATCAATCATTTGCTTCATTCTTTATATATAAGATTTATGATATAACTATGAAAATATCATAATAATTATCGATGATATCAGAGAATCATAAAATAAAAATTATCATAGAACGAAAATTCAATCGAACCCATTTGTATTGAAATAATTATTATCTTATCTTTAAGAAAATATCTTTTCTTCCATCAAGTCAAGTAATTTCCATTAAATGAGAAACCCCTAAGAGAAAATAATAGAAAACACTAGAATATTCATTCCAATCCAAATCAATATTCATTAATATTATCTATTCTCTATCCGAAATAGATTGTTTTTATGAAAAATAAAACCATGATATAGAAGAAATGAAAAATTTTGAGAAGAACCATATCCATGAATAGAAAATATCAATCATCATTCCAATCTGAAATGGGGGGATGGGGAGAAGGTGTAATATGGTCCGCGCCCCATTTCAGAGCCCTTGCCCCAGGGCCCCAAGGCCCCCCATTGCAGACCCTCGCCAGCTGAGGGGATAGATGAAGAAAAACTCGAAAAAGAAACATCTCAATAAAATCAGAAGAAATATGACAAAGAATTCAAACAAATCACTTCCCAAATTATAAGTTTGATGAATGATTCTAACGGGGTTTGGGGTACTGATCATGAAGTATCCTAAATATCCGACATCATTGTCAAAATTAACTTGTAAACCGAGATATCGATTCTTGGAAATGGCTTGCGTTCTTGCTATTTTGTCTTCAACATCATCCATTCCAAATATTTTCTCGCTGCAAGTTGAGCAGAAACTATCGTCGTATTTGGATGGACTGATTTCAGTCCGTCTCTATTTGGAAGGGAGCGCCGGCTGAGACAGCCAATTCCAAAAAACACAAACAGAATCAGCCGAATACAGCACTGCTCCACCCACTGCTCCACCCACTGCAGTCCCTACTGAAGCTGCAGCCGTTGAAACAGTGCTCACGGCATCGCCGAGGTACGATCCTGCAGAGCTTACGCTTTCTTTGGCCAGATCTGTAACCACCTCAGCTGCATTGCTGGGCAGATTTGGGTAAAGGCCTGGACTAGAGTGACTAGATCACAGTAACACCGTGCTCTGACTTTTCCAAGGCGCTCGGCTCGCGGAGCCCAAGATCTCTTTGAGCAGAAGCTGGATCATTTGAGCGGCTTTCTGGGTGCCGTGGGACTCGGAGAAGTTCTTGATGCGGATCGGCGGGGCCTTCATGGACAGGCTCGAGCTCTGATCAGTCACCAGTGAATTCACCGAGCGCACGGTGATGCTTCGAATATCCACCATTTTGATGCACACCTTGGCTTCCTTGCGCTCTTCCTGCTTGTGAGGCTTTCCGATGGCTGCAACGCGCGCTGCAGTTGACTGTCCAAGTTGGTTTATGCCGCTTGCGGTATTGCTGACTATGCCGGCCACTCTGCCGGCAGTGTACGTGGCTTGGGACACCACACCAGTCACTTGCTCGTCCGGCTCATTCTCTGGCGCTGGCATGTCATCCAACTCTTTTTGGTTCATCTTGTCCAGCAAGTCCTTTACATTGCTGGTGCTCAGGTGGATCTTCTCCACCGTCAGCTGAAGGCCGTCCACAATTAGCTCCTCAATGGTAGCTTGCCGGAAACCTTGCATTCTTGCTTCGCACTACGTGCTACACACCTAACCTGCGCTTTATTCTCTACTTACTTGCATGCCCATCTTCAATACCGCGGCATCGTGCCATCTCTCGCTCTCCCTTTCTCTCTTGCATTCTCTTGGCGCGCCTGATGTCGCAAAGGACTTCAGGTTGACCTGACTGGTGCGTCTGGCTTTTTTCCTGTGGCCCACTTGCTCTAAGGGTGCTTCCGATCTGGGTTTTGGGCAGACACATACACGGAGGGAATCCGGAGCAGCGACTCGCTCTTGTAAGGCGCCAAGTTTCCGATTTCCACTCCTGGCCATTTCTGAGCCGAGCACTGCACGCGCTGAGTCTAGATTGCCCAATACTGAGGGCCTACTGGTGACATCGATCCCCCCAACCCCCTACCTGACACTCCGATCTGCATCTCGCAGCCGGAAAGCTTGAAATCGACAGAGCCCAGTTTGCACCTGAGTTCTCACATGTGAGCTTCGACTCAAAGCTTGGGAAGCGAAGTGCACAGATGCGAACGCAACCCAACTTTGGCACTGAAGCGAAAATCAGTTCCAGGAAAGGTACGGGCTGCCAGCCAGCGCCTTGCTAATGAGGGATTCGGCGAGGCTTTTCATCTTGCGGCCCAGAGCTGCTTTTCCGCACCTGGCAAGGGCTCAGCACGAACCCATCGCAAAAATCCATCTCAGCCATGCCATTCATGATGTGCCGTTGCGACTCTACGGCGCAGACGGATCAGGCACCTGCTCCATGTGACACCAGCACCAGCAGTCCCAGCTGCAATAGCTGTCAAGGTCAGCAGCACCATCTCCCGCGGAGCTAGAAGCGCTGCTAAGGTTTCCTCGACCTCCGGTGAGCCCGCGCAGAGTTGATGACGTGCGGAGGTGTATTGAATCTGAGCCATGTCTTCCACTCCTGTCCAGTGGATCTCTGCTCTGGCTGAAGACCGGAGATGAATAACACATAGGTGGATCTTGGATACAGCTTTTTCCGCTAACATGCCAAGCTGCATGGGAACCTGGTCAGATGCTGCACAAAACTGAACAAAAAGTTCACGACTGCCTGCAAGTCATCTTAGACCTGCGGCAGCAAGATCCAGTGTGCATAGCAGCATAGCGAGCAGCATTGGATCTCCACCGGTATCACCATCGTCTAGCTCTACGTGGCTTGATGTTGACGACACTTTGACGACAGGCCCGACGACTCCAATCAACGAGTGCAAGTAACGTCTAGATGCTGAAATACCTTGTGCAACTTGTTTTGAGTTCAGCCATATTGACCGTATGACAGCCAGTACCTGATTTTCAATCAAGTGCTAGGGCATCCCAGTATGCTACGAGTAGAACTCACTAGAGTACTGAGTGCAACTGTCCGAGAAGGAGGAATTCTCCTCCGCTAGGGCTCGTCTCAGCCCTGGCAGGCGCAGCGGGGAAGCAAATGCCTCTGACAGGTCGGGAAGTGACAACAGTGCGTCAAACTCAAACGCTCACGCCCACAGTGACAGTAACGATGCACTGGTTGCGCGGGGCCCCAACTGGGCCCCAACTGGCCAAAAAGGCAAAACGATGGCAAAGCCCTGAGCGCACCTCATGGTGAAAGACACACGGCGAGCTCGCTCCAGCCGGTCTCCAGGCTTGTAGCCCCAAGCTGCGGCCTCCCGAAAGTCTCTTCTCAGGTCATGTTTCGCTTTCTCAATGCAATCAGGCTCAGTCTCAGATGCCTCAAATTGTCTCACTTCTGACAGCCTGCTCCAAGTTCACCAAGTTGGATGGGATGTCTTCGGCAGCCTGTCTGGCACACTGCAAGACCGTCCCACTTTCTGCCGGGTGGTGCTAGATGCGTTCACATGTAGGCCAACTGCCGCCGCATCGATACCGTGACGATGGTGCCAGAACGCATCGTGACCTGTCAAGTTTTGCCAGGCAGTCGGCCAGTGCAATCGCCGACTTCGTGATGTCCCCGCTCGGCTGAGTCAAGCACTGAAGATCAGCAAACTCCTGCAGTGCGAAGCAATCACTGCGCTCATCATAGGCCACGGCTACGGTGCATTGCCACTTGTTTCAGCCGCTTAATGCTCCATGATGCTTCTGGCCTCGGCTCGACGAAAACTGTGTTCATGGCAGGCTGACCACCCTGTCTTGCGAAGGGTACGAACTGCTTATGCAGCGACTGCGATTGGGCCCATGCTCTGCATGTCTTAACTGTGTCGCACAGGTAAGTTGCCTGATAGCCGCCGGGTACGTCATTGGCAGGATCCCACTTCATGCAATCCTCGCCATTCAGCAGCAAGAAGATGCAAGAAGTATCTGCTCATGGGTCATCCATGCTTCTGATGACGTGAAGCTTCCTCGGTACCCGTCTTGGGATAGAAGGAAAAGAGGCATGGCGAGCCAAGGCTCAGTATAGCAACCTGCCATGCAGAGCAACACAAGCATTCCGGAAAAATGGACCAGGGCTAGCCTTTGCCGTGAGAACCGGCTTCTTGCTTTGTAACACCGCGATCTTGCGAAATGTGATGACATGTGGATTGTTGCTGCGCGCATTTTGTAATCAAAGCCCGGCCCATCTGCTGCGGAGGCGACAGGCTGAACCACTCCCGGGCCGAAGGGTATCGAAGGGTGCATCCACACTGCGATGGGGCACTGTGGCCGAGCGCCGTGTGGAGCAGCACGCTGTGGCTTCGCGTGTCATTAACGGTGGAAGCCAGGAGAAAGGCACAAGTTTTGAGCCTCCCAAACGGGCTTTGCCTCCTGATAGAGCTTCGCTGCAGCCTACGAGGCCGTGTCAGTGGACTCTCACTGTCAGTCATCCTGTCAGGGTTTCAGTGAGACATCCGTCTTGATGAAGCTCATCGGCAGCGCTAAACACCCTGAGCCCTAGGACTATCGGCAGACATAGGGAGTTGGGGAGTCTCCTCGTCCTCCGGATCCATGCCGGCCAAGCTGGCATCAAAGGCCCCAAACTTGCACCTTAGTACAGGCTTAGGGCCGGTTAGGATTCTGGGCATGCAGCGGTTTAGGGTTGTGTGCTTAGGGACAACTGGCTTGAAATGGACTTGAATGGTTGGACTGTCGCTTGACTGGGTGGAGTGGCTTAACTCCCACGTTCTTGCTGCGCTCTTGCGCAGATATGTGGGGCAGCGCGTGGTCTAAACTCCCAAACCCCTAAAACGGTTAAACCCCAGCCGGAAAAAAACAAAAATACCCAGTCGAGATGCCACTCTCCCATGGCCTGTATTCCACGATCTCCGGCTCCACCCTGAAGATACTTAAAGAAGTCCTCGTGCGCGACATGGTGCATGACATGGCATGGTCATCCCCTGGCCGCGCCCCCGTGACATGCAGTGCGCCGAATTGAGCTCCCACCTCAGCATTTCTTGCCTGAGCTTCTCGTTGCTCCTGCACTTCAAGAAGTCAAAATGCAAAGTGCTGCGTGCTGACAGAACTTGATGGCCGAGGAGTGATGTGAAAAAAACAGTGGCATGTTCATCCCCTGACGCTGCTTTAACCACTTAGCGTCACGGCGTCCTTCAAAGACAGCTTGGGAAGAGCCCCCGAAGAGCACTTGGGGCACGTGCCGTCGGCAGGGGTGCAGTACGAGTGGTACCTTGGATTTATGTCAGTTCGTTGTTTGCCGCCGAAATGGCATGATAGGTTAGTTGCAGACTTACTCCATGGGCTTGGTTACGTCCTACAGCAGCTTTGCGTCCGCCAATCATTCGTGATGCCTATGGGGAAAGCGAAAAACACTCACACATTCGACTACGTGACTCGTCTTTTCTTTGTCTTCACATTGCTTCACCCTTGCTTCCGACATACATCATGCAAGATTCGAATGCCCACAGAAGAAGTGCACGGCAGGGACTTCCAACGTCAGGCCACACCTTTGCGCATTTGCTGAGGGCTCCGAATCGGAAGATCGCTTCCGAAGCTGCGAAGCTGGAACAGTTGCATAATCACCAAACCGCTCGGACATGGTAAACTGGACATGAAACTGTTGGGAGTTAAGGGCCTTAGAGTCCTAGGGTTTGTGCTTCAAAAACAGAATGGTGACGAACAGACAGCCAAGAGTCTGGAAGCAGCGGGTGTTCTGGAACTCTTTGGCCTGAACTGGCACATATCTGATTCACATGTCGCCGTGCCCCAGAATATAAGCTTGAGGTAGGATTACGTACTGCGGCCCCTGACAAGGTCCGTCCTGCGTTCGAAGCTGGATAATCTCCTGCTGCATGCGGGCGATCTCCTGGCGATCCTGCACCCCGCAAGTTGGGGCCCGAAGATGTTATAAGCATCATGCCCAATTATGCCCAACTCAACTGGCACAGTCCTGAGCCGACTTGGCGCGAGAAGTTTCCACAGACTCGACTAAGCGCCGGTACTGGCCCTTCCGGGGTCACACTTCAAAGTCGAGGTCAAACGCGCAGGGAAGTTGGCGCTTATGATGCCCATGCTACCCCATTCCTGCCTGCATGTACTGACGAACGTCACCGATGGTCACCTGTCAAGCCCCCTACACTAAACTGCATCCGTAGCTCCGAACAATTGGTCTTTAATCTGTTACTTGGCACCCACAGCCCGACATGTGGATGGGATGCTTTCCTCGTTGCTTGACCGGAGGGTCTCGATGACGAGTAAAAGCGGCATCAGGTCACTGTCCTGTCACGCGGTCACCTCTACGGGCTCTTGGCAAACACTTATCCGTTGGAGCCATGACGACAGCATTGAACATACATTTCCCACTACAGCGCTGCTGCTTCTGGCATGCCATCACCAAGTTGGCTGTGCCTTTCGATCCTTTCGGAACCAGTGCGTGTTTACCCCGGGCTCTTCTGCTACACCGTCGTGTTTGAGGCTTGCGACCCAAGTCCTCGATGTGTCGCAGCACTTCGCCCAACTCCTCTAGGTGCCCGCCGCCGCTCTCCGGGGAGGCCAGAAAGGACAGGGCCTCCGCAGGACGAAACAGGGCAAAAAGGGCAAAAATGTACAAGCCTGTCTTCCCTCAGCACGGGCTTTAAGGCGCATTTTTTGCAGGGGGCTTGACAACTTCTGTGGCACAATGACAGCTGGCATCGCGGGTGTTCTGCATGAGGGACATGCAACAAAAAAAACAGGGGTAACAAGACAAATGCACCAAGCGTGCACCAACCTGCACCCACAGGCTTTGGTCGGCTGGACCACAACGCTTGCAGACTTCCAGGAGGCGCTTCGCATCCTGCAAGGCCGCGCAGAGATAAAGCAAAAGCAGCTCAAAGCAACCGTGCTTGCACACCATCGGGAATCTGTCCTACCGTCCTTATGCTCAAAGCACCATTGCATCAGCAGCTGGTGCCGATGCAACCGCTCCGCAGCGTGGAAGAAGCCGTCCACGAAGCCAAAGGCCCTACAACAACCGGTGACAAGGAGAATGAGACTCGGAGAGGGACTCATATTCAGAGGCCGAGATGACTGTTGCTGATGATACTCGTTTACTAGTTTACGAGACTGTGGAGAGCATGGGCTGGAACCGTAGGAGCCCAGCTGACAGACCATCAGCGTGTTGGCCAAAGCAGCATCGCTGGGATACCTCTCCGGCCCAAGATGGCCACCGAAAAGAGAGAAGGGCTCTTCTTGGGACGCTTTTTGGGAGGAGTTGCGAGAAGTTTGGCTCTTCGAGTCGGGTCGTATATTGAGAGGCTTCTGGGTATCTCGAAAACTCAGCTGGGTCGGAGAGGGTTGGTTTGGGGGGATTTGAATGTCCAATGTGCAGAACCAGGCATTCCAAGCTGAAGCCGAGCAGCTGTCGGATGAGTCGCATGATGTCTGCGGACAAGCGGCTGGCCACCTGAGCATTCCGAGCCAAGGTTGAAAAGTGCACCATGGAATCCCTAAACACGTCTGAAACCCCAAACGTACAAAACCCCCTGAAGCGAAACCACCCCTTCATTCTGGAGGCCTCCTGTTTCTCTGCGGGGAGTTCTTCGCCATCTGCGAGCAGGGCGCTGTGCGACTTCACCTCGCCAGAGGGTGATGAGCATGCGCAGAAGAGTCTGAGAGGTGTAGGGCGCGCTGTAACTTGGGAGTGCATTCCATTTTTATCCTAAAGGAAGGAAGAGGAGCTGAAACAGGCTGGAAGGGGCACACAACTCAACCGCTCAGTGGCATGCAGCTGCTGCCTTCGCACAGGAAGAACCACAATAAACATGATGTGTTTAATACCCCACCCCCTTGGATGTGTTTAATACCCCGCCCCCTTGATTTGTCTATCATCAGCAAAAATACCAAGAGGAACTCCTTAACAAAAATATGAACTTGAAGGCAAGACACCAGCAACTCCAAGAGTGTCGGAAACAATCGCTCAGCCTGGCAGGTTTGGGGGGTTGATCGGACTTGCGAGGGTTTCGTTATGGCTTTTTGTATAGGGGGTTTAGCAGGGTTCATAGGAAATACGAGTGTAGGGTTTGTGGGGTTCTTAGTTGTTAAGACCCCCCCCCCCCCAACCCCCCAAGAAAAGCGGGGGGGGGGGGGGGGGCATAGTCTAGATCAACCACTTTAAGGAGACATCAGAGCTCCGCCTGGGCTTGTGGCAGCTGGCAGCCATCATCCAGCAAGACGGAGCGGAGAAAAACCTCCAGTCTCATAAGAACACATGAAGTAAAACAATGATCAGGCTCGTCTTTGGATTAGCGGAAAAATCTAGAATTCCAAAGCGTTCCACGGAAAACTGAAGGAAACCTGAGAAAGCTAGGCAAAGCTGGGAGAAGCTAAGTTAAGCTAAGACAAGCTACGAATTTCCTGGGGTGAAGTATGCCTTTGAAGGGCCTGTACAGAAGATGTCAACAGGAAACTACAGCTTGCCTTTTCCATCAAAGTTAATCTGAAGTTGCAGCTGTCAGCGCCTGAGGTTTGGGTGTTACTTCTAGGTATCGGCCTTAAAATCTACGCATTCATACAATACTGATTTCTGGCAATCAGAAGTGGACTTTGGTTTTTTTTTGCTAGCCATCGAGGTGCTACGACATTCCTGTCTTCAGACCCCGGCTCGCTAAATCTTTCCTGGAATCGGGCCCCGATCTGCTACGAAAGGCTAGAGAAGGCTAGGCAAGGCTAGCAAAAGCTAGCAAAAGCTGGAAAAAGCTAGAAAAAACTAGAAAAAGCTAAGTTTTTCCCGGTTTTCGGGCAAGCCCCCGGGGCCCCCAGCTAATCGTAAACAACTCTCGCCAATGTTTCCAAGAGCTTTGGCGACAATAGATTTCCAAATCCCTCATCCCTACAGTCTACGCCCGACAACCCTACAGCTTTCCAAATCAAAAGGTTTGAGAAATGGATTCCAGCAGAATATCACAGAAAATCAGGGTTTCAGCGAAGGAACTATCTAGCTCCCTTACTCGTGTTCCGAAGGCCAAAGAGGCACCTCATCAATGTTTTACCTCATGCGCCTCTTAGACAGTCCAGGATTCAAGGTTTCTCCGGGTTTAGAGCTGATTCCCGTATACCTAGAATACCGATAAGCGGCTCATGATATAAAGTAGCTGCACGTCTGCAGGTATGACGCGCATCTCATCACAAGTCGGCAGCGGCAGCATGTCCGAAGCCTCCAGCTGCTGCAGGTCATCAGCCTGAGGATGTGAATATACTTCACCTTCACACCAACTTCACACAGATGATGTCACAAAACGAGCTCGCCGAGCAGCGAAAACCGGAAGAAGCTCGTCGACGGTCGGGCCTTCAGCTTGGCAGGTGTCCAGCATATGCCGAGAAGCTGGTCTTTTGCAGCTTGTGCCTTGACCTTCAGCTGTTTGGTGAAAGGCCTCTCATGCAGGAATCACGTGAGGTCGGTTCAGGATATCTGTTGGGAAGCCGGGAAGCCTCTTGATAAGGAGTCTTCTAAACTATCCCTACGGGCATAATTCGGATGTTTTAGGCAGTGCCTACAAGGGAGCACTAATCCCAACTTCATGCAACCCAACAGACACAGGCTGTTGTGGCAAGATCGTTCTTCAAGAACGTGCGCTTGAACTGCCTGGCCGTCCATCGGCGGATCCCGCAGATCGCAAACATGACGAATCAACTTCACAGTCTCCTGTCATAAGCTGCATCATGATGCTCATGCGAGCAGACAATGATATCCCCTGGCTTGATGTAACATATGCAATGGCCGTATGTGCGGGAATGAAGCCCTGGCAAGACCGGGAATGCACGCAGTTGCTGCCGCGATCTTGAATGTACGCTCACTCCTTGGGTGCGTGACGCATCAGTGTCCGCCCATAGTTCAGCAGAATGCGTCCTGCCTGGGAAGTCCCGTGATGCTTAAAGCCATCACTCACCAAGCATTTGAAGCCACCACAAGCAAACGTGGCTGCGTACAGGACTGTAATAATCCACTATACAGTACCCCTCGCCAATCCCTTACCTCCTCCAAAATGCATATCAAGTCATGCGGACGACATTCACCAGCAGGTAACTATCACGCTTATCTTCTGTGTCACTTTGGTGGTCCCTTGATAAGATCGTCCCTCATGTCGTGCTTGTCCTCGACCCGCGGCAACGCCTGCAGAAACTCCACCGTGGTGGAATAGTTCTTGAACCTCGCAATGGTGCGCGTTCCAGGGCTGGGGGGTTCGGGAAACCGTGTAGACAAAGTTGAAGCCCAGTCCCTTTCCCCTCCCTCAAGCCACCAAGCAATCCAGCATGTTGGGGCCCCTGGTTTCTCCCAAAATACGCAGAATCTGAACCGAAGCCTCTTCCTCAGTTTGAGGGGAGGGCTTGCGTAATAGCCATACCAGAACAAGGATACTCTGCCATTTAAGTTTTTTTTTGTGCTGGTAGTTTTAGAAGGGAACCTTATGAAACGCCAAAGGCCAGGTGCAGAATCCAATGCCAAGGCTTGCGCTGCTCCAGCGAGATTCGCACATAGTCATCATGGCTGCCCACCTAGCGCATGCGGAGTGAAACGACAGGCGCCGAAAGGCGCCGTCTGCTCAGCTTCGGTGTCGTCGATTAGAACATCAAGCTGTTACTGCAACTGGGAGTTGAAGGTTGCAACGTCGAGGTCATGTTTAGAGTCTTGAGGAACACGAGCTGTGCCAGGCTGAAGGCTCAGAAGCAACACCGGCATTGAAAAGTAGACCTTATTCTGAGGGACGAGGTCGCACGGGGTGGGCTTAAACTATGGATGTTTGCTTCGGATCTCTATCGCAGCCCTTCTAGCATAGGGTACCGGGTACCACAAGTCACCTTCTGCGCCACTTCTGCAGCCAGGCCGTGGTAGGCAGCTGACTCCAACACCTGCCAACCAGTCAGGGGTCCATTCGGGGCACGTCATGGCTCCCTCAAGACAACCCCTGCCTCGATGGCAGTCGCATGATCATACTGAGAAGGCGGGGTCGTCTTCAGAAACTCCTGGAGCTCCAAATGTTGCCAACAACACCCTACCAAGGCTCTCTATTCCGGCTGCCAGAGTGCCCGCTCCCAGTGAGCTAAATGCCAAACCCGAAGCCCTAAAATAATCAGAGGTATATATATTTACATATGTATATACATTTGTATGTGAAGACTTGTTGTTTTTCGGTCCTATCTTTGTCTCTATGGCTTCTCTCAGTTTTAGCGTGTATGTATCTTTATCTTTATCTGAATTGTTTTTATACTCGCTCTCTTGCATCCGCAGGCGTGAGGCTGGCCATGGCTGATCCTCCAGCGTCGTGAAATCCTTGAGCTTGGTGTAGCACTTGAGGAGGAGTGCTGTGTGCTCCGGCTGAGCCATGTCCTATCACAGACTCGTTTGCACTGAGAAGTACCGACTCGGGGCCGGGTCTGTTTTCCTTGTTTTGCTCGCACGGAAAACGCGCGATGCGCTTTGGTCCGCCGAATGTTCCTTCAGCTTGCACCTGACATTGCAGGCGGCACGGCGAAGGCAGTGACAGACCTGCCTGGATCATCTCCAGTTATCCCAAGCATCCCAAACAGGTTGCCCAAGTATGGATTGCGACCGAGGGAAAATAGAAGCAGCAACAAATGGGGAGACAGTCAGCCGAGTTTTGGTCCAACTCTCCACGAACATGGCTACCTCAACTGTTCACGGACCTTGTCTACAGGCCACGGCACATGTCTTGCCTGGTCTGTGTGAACCTGGCTAAAGACTTCGTGCTCGCCCCATGCAAGAGAATATTTTTTGGAAAAGACAGACTCTACAACTGAACATTAACAAAGGCCAGATGCTGCTGGCATGCAGCTGAACATTAACAATGCGGTTGGCTGCGATGCTGTGATGCATCAAGGTGCCCAATCAGCCCTTTAGGGGTGCGGCATCTCCGGCAGACCAGTTCGCAATGATGACCTGACAGGAAAAAGTTTGAATAAAGGTGGCCTCTGTGCTCCCTACACTGGTGCAAGAGTGGTGGGGATCCAGCCTCCAAGCTGCTGCGGACAGTCTCCTGGGCGTCCGGCTCCTCAGCTCTGTCCTGGTGCATGCTATGCTAGAGAACGACACGGATCCGAAAGAGGCCAACACACCCAAAGTGGTTGCATCTCGCTATGGCTCGGTCCTTGAGGCACAAGCCCTGCGCTGTTCCCGGAATGGCATGACCTTTTGCCAAAGGTGCTTAGGTGGTTCGACTTCGCATCCGTGCTGCGCAACCGTACCGCTTCGGAACTGAGCCAAGCACGAAGAACCTCCAACAACCCTTCCACGTAGCGGATGGGAAGGTGGTCGTGGAACATATGGCCGCTGATGTACAGCTCCTCAGGACATCAAAGCTGACAGCCTCTTCGCAGCTGCACGGCTCGATCATTGACATGGAGGCCGATTCAGGAAAGCTGCGTGATAAAAGCTTGGCAGCGACCTTGGCTGTGGCAGCTGCTTGTGTCCAACGTGAATGCGCATGCGCGCGTGCGCGCACAGACGTGCACACACACACACATTGACTTGGCAGCTTCTTGTGATGCAGCAGACAATCGGCAGGACCAGCCCGTATCCAACCAGACTCGAGTCTCATCTTTGGTACAAAATGAAAAAGGTATGCTCTCAGATTTGTTTCTTCGCGTGACGCTGCTGGCCCCGACTATTGAACAAATTGTAAGGCCCCGCAGGTTTCCAGCATCACCACGATTCCAATGGCATCGTTGTTCCCAAAGAACCATTGAATATCATTGAATATTATCGGGCAGGCAACTGGAAAATGGGCAATAAAACGACGGCTGATCCCATGCTTCTGTGTAAAGCAAGCTCACACATTAGGCACAACAATCTCGCTGTCTGTTCAAAGCATTCGGTTGACTCTATTTGACTACATGTGGTCTCTTTCAAAAAGTTGAAAAATGGCAAACCCTGACTGAGCCTTGAAGCCTTAAACAACAGGCGTGCGGCCAGAACAACCGCGTTGGTGCCGTGGACATGCCAACGCCGCGGCAATCCATGTGAAGCAGCTTCCCTGGAGTGCACAGAACCTTCCAGCCGCGCTGCGAAAGCTCTCGAAATCTCTCGAACTTCTTGTCTTGAGACCCTACATGCCGAACCCCTACTCAGTCCCGCACTCGAACCCCCCCCCCCCCCCTCATTCCAACCAATCAAGGTCGAAACCCTCAACATCCTCAACATTCAATCGACACAAAATCTATAATGTTTCTTTAAACCATACCGTGAACCTTCCACACCTCGACCCTACACACCTCTCAATCCTGCAAATGTCCAGGAGCACACTTCAGGATTACAGGGTGGAGTCCCTGGCCTCGGGTACCTGCGATTCGGCGCCGAAAGCCCGAAGGCGAGGGCTCGTGGAGGCACCTTCGCCTAGGCCCAGCTGCTTTGGGAGTGATGATTAAGCAAGTCGGTTGAGTCGGGTAGGTATACGGGTCGGGTGTTTGCCTATACCCAAAGCCTTTCACTCAAACACCCTCCGCAGCTAAACCCGCGAGGCCATGGTTACGCGGAATGCATCTACAAGGCAAGAGAAGTTGTTGATCCAGGACGGAACATCGATGAAACATTCCTCGTTACACATGAGACTCCTCGTCGATGGCTTAGGAATCAAGGCAAGCTGTCATGGCTGTCATGATCGGCCCCCAGAACTCAATTCCCTTCCCCCCCGCGCAGAGAGCTACTTAACTTCAGGCAGAGGCTCCAGAACATTTTCTGCCAGGCTTGGCTTGATGTCGCCAAGATCAAGCAACTACGAGAGCTTGATTGGGTTTAGGGTTAGGTTTTAGGGTTTAGGGCTAATCTCAAAGCTTCTCATTCCAAGCCAGGCCTTCCCCCCCCCCCCCCGAGACTTCTCACCGAGGGACCGCCCTGCCACAAGCTCTTGGAAACCCAGAGGCTTTCAAACCCTCAAGGCTTTCGTCCACTTCTTTTCCCAGGCCCGCTACAGTATATGCTCGGGCTTGAAATTGATCACGTCAGGCTGGCCTTCGATCCACCCCCAACAACCATGGGGAAGAGGCCTATTAAGGGCCAGGCATAAACACACAAAAAACCCGACTCCAGGGTGCTGCCAGGTTACTTCTCCCACGCCCAAGCTTCTGGAATAGCCACTGTTTGGCCATGTTAGGAGCACTCCGCTCCTGGGTCAGCAGGGGTTTCCGGGTTAGGGGTTCGGGTCTTAATGTTTCAGGATTCCGGGATCAGGGGTGCACGTGATGACTTCAACCCTGGCATCTGCCCACTGTGGGCATTGTGTTGGAGGGCATTGGGCACGAAAAAGGCTCTTCTGCTCCCTCATCCCAGACAGTTTTTCCGTAGAGGCGGTTAAGCCCTGGATCGCCGGGGGGAGCGGCTGGGGCCCGGTGCCAGCGGCTCGGGCGATGGGCCTTTTGGCATTTGATCTACATAAGGCTTGTAGCTTTGACCTTTCCGGGTGTTCTGGTGCATTGGAATGCGTGTGGCAGTGGAGCTCCTCTAGCTGGAGTTGGGCACTTTACAGACGGCGACAACCCGAGTCGCTGCACTTAATACTTTGCTGAGTGAGCTTGAGTGTCTCACTTTGCAGTGCATGTGGATGCAGCACGACTTTGGTCGACACAACGATCTTCTTTCCAAGAGCTGCTTTGAAGATGGCGGTTTTTGCGAATCACCTGATTCCTACGACTTTCGAGTCGCACTGTTCACCGAACTTTGCATTGATGCTGATGTGGTTCGTAGTGTGAGCGAGTCTCTGGTGTGTGTGCGTGTGAGAATGAACTTTGAAGTCGTAGCGACTTTGAGCCAAGGAGGCGTGTGAAAAATCCAATCACCACTTGCTGGCTCAAGACTTTGTACTTGAAGGAGTGGCCAGGGCCCTTGCACTGAGGTTGCACGATTGCTTTATTTAGGGTAGTTGTTTGCGTGATCTCGGATTGTCGCATGCTTTTGTTGACCTTAAGGGCTCCAAACCCGATAGTGTCCACCCCTTTGCCCCATTAGATACGGCTTCATGAGGGGGCCGGCCAGATTGAATTTTCGGCACAGATCACAAAGACTTTCCATGATCCGTGCCCAGTCTCGGTAAGCTGGAGAATCAGCTTGTCAATGCCAAATACAGACACTCGCGTGATGTAGTCGGCATCGAACGCCGTGGACAGGACCTGACATGTCGCTTGGGTGCTTGAAACACTTTCCGCCCTTCCTGTATACAATCTACTTGTACTGGCACGGGTGAGTAACTGAGCGAAGGAACAGAGAAAGAAGTCGCCTAAGTCTACCAATCCAACGAACCGCTCAATGAACTTTCAAGTACAACGCCCTCAGAACTCTTTAGGGTGCGCGCGTAAGGCGCGCAGCGGCTTGCCAGCTCCGGCGACACGATCCTAGGCGGGATATTCCGTCTGCTTAGGGAGATGACTGGGGCTTATAGGGAGGCATGTCGGGTTGCCTGGCTTAACTGGGACTTTTGAGCTATTTCATCTGGAGCCATTCGTCACTGAAATACGCCGAAGGGTCGGAGATGCGCCAAAGCCGTAGGCAAAAGCATTCCTCATCCCGAGCGGGTACTCCATGGCCACATCCTTACAGTTGGAATTGGCAGACGCAGCTATATGGACAGCTCTTGCAACACTATGGTTCTCCTTTTCATCCCCCTTTGAAACAAGAGGTTCAGTGCGGGCACAGCCGAGGGCCGAGGATAACGAAAGCTAGCCTGGATTGACTCCAATCTGGGTTAGACACACCCCACACCACTACCCCCACCACCACCGCACCCACCACACTCCGCACCCCACCACACTCCGACACACACACCCACACGCCACCACACACCTCTACCAAGCACCACCACACACCGCACACCAGCACCTACCGCCACTCCACGTAAAATGATTTTTGGACCTTTTTTGGGGTGCTCATAAAGTGAAAAAGACCATAAAGGCAATTTCCCCCTAACCCCCCCCTCCGCCCTGTGGGACCCCCCCCCATCGCTTGGAGGAAACCGATGCCGTGGAGGGGTCCCGCCTGTCGGCGGCACCCACCCCCACCCCCCGCCCACCCCTCCCCCCACCCCCTCCACCTAAGACCCCTCAAACACCCTGAACCCCTTTAACCTCCCTACGAATTCCGAACCTGGACCCTTCCTTTCCTGTTCTGGGGCCGGCCCGGCTGCCGAGGCGGCGCGCGCAAGCGTTTAAAATTACCCATCGATTCTCGCCCGCCACCCCACCCACCCAAACACATAGTTCTTGGATAATGTCAGGGGGTGGGTCCGGTTCCCAGTTAAACCAGAGACTCAACTGATTCAAGCCTCGCTGCGCCAGCTTTCCTGAGAGTCTACAACCCCAAAATGGCCCGCAAACCAACCCACA